AAAATATCGGTGTGGGATTTATGGTGGCAGAGAGAGGGGCTTCGTTTCGGAGTACTATTGTCCACTGCACTGCAAAACTTTCTCGCTACGATTCGCATCAAAGCGAGATTCCTACACATCTCGTGAGAAAGTTTAGTACACCAGATATTATCATCGGGCAAGAATATTTCATTGTCAGGGAGGTCAAGGAAGGGATTTTTGGTCAAACAGTCCGAAAATTGAGCCTCCACGACGAAACGTACGATAACGCACGTCGTGAATAACCTGAAAATTTTCGAAGCAATCTTTGCTTGTCTGCCGTCTTTCTCAGAGTGCACAACCGCAATTCCCGATTAAGTACAGAACCTTAACAAAGTTCTCAAATCACTCGCTGGCAGCACTTGGGTTGCCCCCAAAGAAACGTTGTTGGCAACGCATAAGGCAACTGATCGGCAGCTTCCAAACCCACGGGGGTCGCCGGGAGCAATTAGGACTAGTGGACGAAACTACGGACTTGCCATAATATACCACACCGCGGATAGCCTCAGGATACCATCCTGATGTCGCCGGAACAATCAATTTCATAGTGAGGCTTAGAAGTTCCCATGAAGGGAGCCAGAAATTCCTCGTCTGTTTCGACAGACGTGAGCATCCGATCCGACACATCAGCGGATATACATATATGTGAACCGAAGGATGAGATTCAGAACTACTAATCTACGTCAACTACTGGACCCGGCACTATATAGGCAGGCACTAAACGACATTCATCGGCGACAATATCCACCCTAGTATACTAATGACCGTCACGTAAATGTCGTCATCCAAGTTCAATCTCCACCGATCGCGGAGGAAGAGCTTTAGCGAGAGATTCTCGTTGCTCTAGCTCAAATTTTGTCTAGATACTGTAGAAATTTAAACTTCTACATACGCAGACTAGACCAAAAGACAAGCCCACTCAAACCAAACTCTACTTACACCACCACTCTCCCATTGGGGAGCTGGACTACAACGATTGAAGGACTATCCGACTCGAGGCTGGGTTAATTAGCCACTATAACAACAACCCCCACACAGAGTCCTTAGTTTTAGCTTTACCTTAGCTGATATCCCTCTAAGGGTACCGGAGCTCCAACTGCGTTATCTCGACCAACGAAGATTTATCCATCCATTCCTCCATCCTAAGCCCGACAGATACCAGCATTTCACCCTTTTTTCGATTCCGTTGTACCGAAAGGTCACCAAAGCTTCGACACTCGGCTCACATAAACAAATTAACACACATCTACATGTACGTAACCCAGGTTCTTTTACGTTTGGTCCTGCCCTTTTTATGGTGTTTGTAAGCCGGTATATTTGGTGCACGCGACTACATATTTGGGACGCATTGAAATGTGGCGTGTTAACGCGGTTATATGAATGCGAAATGCATGTGTACAGCTTGTATTTGCACCACGTACCAGCAAAGGGCAAAATGCAAAAAAAAATGCAAAAAAGTTTGTACGTGGCACGAAAAATTGTTCCTCGGAATTTTTAGCGCAGAAACTGTTTGCATTTGTAGCAGGTGTGGCTTAACTTCCGCAAGGCTTTGGCGCCAAAAGAGCGCAATGAATTACGCTGTACCCGTTAGAATGTGCGCACCTGTGTATGCGAGTGTGTAGTCAAGAAGACGATAATCAAAATGTGCGCAATGCCGCGTTTAATTTGAAATTTTAAGCAGCAATAAAACGATGGTTCCACTATTGCAATGGCAGAGTAAAAAAAATTAAAATAATGGAGTAATGCAAGAAAAAGGCAAAGGCGCAAGCCATTTGGTTTTGTAGAAATTTTTAGAGTGTTGGTTGTGAGTTCTCATAATTTTATTTTTATGCGCTCATGTCGCATTGTTTTTGTGGAGCTATTAAAAATTGCGCAGAAATACTTTTTCCATAGTTTTTGGTAGTTTTGTGCTAAAATTACGAAACTATTTAGCAATTTTTTCCAATTTTGGCAAACTGCATGGATTATTTAGCTATTTTCTGGCTGCCACTCAGCCGCCAGAATCAGATGTTGCCCCGCTAAACCGGCAAGAAAATAGCAAAAGTTTCGCTTTAGTAAGGTTGAAAATAAACGTGGAAGAAGAGAAGAAAAGCGGCAACCTAAAATTAAAAAGAACACAACGTTGACTTTTGCGCCAACTTTTGCGCCAACATTTGACCGCATTTTGACGGGTTCCTTTTATTGTTGTCGTTGCTTGAAAAATTTATTACGCGATAATTACTTTTAATTTTCGACTTTCGGGGCATACTTCCATACGTCTACTTTGTGCCACACACGTAGGGACAAACGTGGGAAATGTGTGAAAAATAGTGTAGGATCAGGCTCTCACTCTACCGCTTACATAGATACACACTCAGCTATACAAGCACGAAATCGCACACACAATTCGCATTTTCTGCTTCTTTTTGCTACCCTTTTTTCCAGTCATTCCGCGGCCATATTTATACATATGTTTAGGGTGGTCCTTAAAATAGCAACGCTATGCGTTCGATTTATTTTGTTCGAGGACGATATTCACAAAAATTTCAAAATTAAAAAAAGGTTTAGTGGTCGCTACCAGGGTTTAAAAAATTTAATTTTTTTCAAATCGTTATAATCCGTAAAGCTCTTGATATTAACCAGTTATAACTCGGAAAATTTAAGAATTTATATGAATGAGTTTCAAAAATATGTCAAATATATCAGATTTCAAGTCAAAGTTGTGTCCATATTTCTACGATTTAAAAAAAATAAAATTTTTTCAATCCCTGGTACAAGCTTGACAGTTGACAGCTGTCAAATGGACTGTGAATTTTTCTAAAAATAGGAAAATATTTTTTAATCTTTTAGTACTATATATTTCTGGGATATAAAAAAAAAAAACATAATATAATACCCATGATTATACGAAGTTACAGCCGTAAGTATAAAATCCGTAAGTGTACTAAGATATATATCCGTAAGTGGGTACCCAGGTACTCCGGTTGAGCTACAACGTTAATTTATTTGGTTGGGCACACTAGAGTTAAAGCATAAACAGACAGCAGCGTTGATCCGGATCAACACGGGAATTACCAGCAGTTGATCCGGATTAAGTCCGAGTTAATCCGGTTCAACGCTGCTGTCTGTTTAAGCTTTTGAGCTCTTCACTCATGTAAAGCGCCGTTAATTTTCTTGTATGTATAGCCTACATACCTTTTCTGAGTTGCGTCGTTTTTGCTCTTACCAAGTTATATGTAAATAAATGATGCCAACTAAAGCCGCACATGAATCCCTTTTGGGATGCACCTTTTAGCTTGACGCTTGACTCATGCAATGTCAGAAGCGTGTAATATCAAACAAATTTCTATTTACACAAGGAAAATGAGAGAAATTATTGCTGCTTTCGCCGTAGAAGTACATTTTACAGCAAAAAAAAAATAATAATAGTAAAATGTGAAATAACAGAGATTGGGTCACGACATTAATTAACTCAGTTGCGAGTAAATCCGAGATGAAGATAACATTGTGTGTAGTGTTAAGTGTAGTCGTTGAAAGCGGATTATATACGAGTACCTTCAACAAAAAAAAATAAAATGCCAAAAGTTAACTGCAAGTCCCAGCTACTTTAAACTTGCACTTTATTATACTAGAATTGAATATGCTACAAAACTGCACATTCAAAATATTTTTAAGATATATAATCAAATGTCCCTAATACCGACATTCAAAAGTAGAATTTTTGATTTTTTTTTCGAAAAACATTTAACGAAATAGAAAATAAAATGGTATGCGTTTTTCGGTTTCTGTAACCATGGAAATGGATTCCTTGATGCAAGAACCGCAAAAATTTGTTTTTAAAACTTAATAAAAGATTCATTGCACTGTACTTTCAGGTCAAAAAAAGAATATACAATTTTTATTTTTAAAGACAGTTTTAAAGGCTAATATATTGTTTAACCCACGAGACTATTTTTCCTGAGTTTTCTGTTAAAAATTAATAAAAAATAAAATAAATAACTAAAAAGGCTAGTAAAACCCTATAAATCGCGAAACGACTAAAATAAAATAAAGTAGATCCTAAATTCAAATACAAAAACAAGAAATACAAAGACTCAACGTAGCTCAGAACTTCTCGAAAAAACGCCAAACAAATCCCAAAAATTGTCCCAAAAATTGTCCCAAAACTTACGAAAAAAAAAAATTCACAGATATTATGAATAACCCATTTTCGCCAATAAATGTTTTGCTATTTCGTTCCTCAAAATATAAAAATGGTGATCGAGTTATTTCGAAAAATTACATACATATATTATTTACCTGATCTGATGGAATTTATTTTGTTCAATCATGAGTAATTTATGAAATTGGAGTGATAGAAGTTAGCAAGTAGAGAATAATCGGAAGGGTAAAGCATATTGTTATCCTCAGCATAATAGGCGCAGTAATTAATGCACCCCAAGAAGGGTTGAAGACGATCTCAAGTGCGCATAACTGGAGCGGTCGCAAACAGAGCTCTCAGAATAAAGTAATACAAATTGTGGAAGGACACAGAAATCATAAGTGAAAGTAAAATCGAGGCTAACCAAGATGCCCGCACAACTAGAGAATCATTGTGACCGAAAGTTATGGTATTACTTATTACACCGTTGGCTCAAAGATGGAAAAAGTAGTTTGCGTGGGGTGGCATTGGATTTAGAAATTATATCCCAGCTTGGCAGGAAGAAACAAAACCACATTAAGAGTTCTTATCAAAAAATATTGAACCAACAATGAGGTCGAGATACGCCATTTTCTATGAAAATGTTCAGTTCCATACAAGTTCTCCATACAAGGCGACTGAAGCTCTTGGGATTAGGCTTTTTCATCAACGGCGCATAGATAATGTAAGCGAGTGGTTTAATAGCTATAAAATTTAAACAATCAGCAGGATATATCAGAGAATGTAACCAACCAACTATGCCTTATTATTTTCTATTTCAAATCTGTATATGTTTAAAACAAGTTTTCAAGTTAAATTGCAAAATGAATGTTCATACAATTATTTATATTTTTATTCCCATTCCTTAATAAAATGTTGAAAACGTACATGTCCTTCACTTTTATCCAGCAATTTCGGAATCCAAATCAGAGTTTTCCACTATCCATCTTTTGAAGTATGGTATCTTAGTAAAGCCATCCGGGTTATTATTGCCACATCCATTTGAGTGATAACTGGCAAGGCCAATCAAAAAGCCTTGATAAACAGCTGGACCACCATCATCTCCATCACAAATTCCATTTCCGAGTACCTTTTGCAGGCAAAGTATCTGGAGTGTACTCGAACCCACAAATTTAGAGCAAGCTTCAGTTTTCAAAACGAACAGATTTCTGGCGTACAGCAGTGTATCAGAAAGTGGACCAGCTTCACGAATACGTCCCCAACCAGACACAGTAACCTGTACACCAGCGGGTGGCAAAATAGCAGCTAACGGTATTGGTTGTATAAGATCGCTGTACTCGAGTGAAATGTTAAGCTTAAGTAAGGCGATATCATTGTTGTAAAAGTAAAATTCTTCGTGAGGTGTAATCTTTGATACACCGGCAACTACACCACCCTCAGTGCGATTAATCGAACCCGCCTGTACTGTTAGCTGAGATGTACGGAAACTAAAAGATTACATATTTATAAACTACATATAAATATGTGTATGTACATTAGTATGTCGTATGATCTTACCTGTATACACAATGCGCTGCAGTTAGTACATAATTTTGAGAAATTATAACGCCACCACAATTATGTTGTCCACCTACGCGTACCGAAACTTGGTAGGGAAACTGACCACTGGCGGCAACACGTGCATTCAATATCCGTGGACTTGGTAACAAAGACCCTTTAACAATAGAACTGGAAGAGCTGCCAGCTTGTATGACACTTATGCCCATACAAATGAGAATGAGGAGTTTTGGAAAATAATTCGGATAAGCCATGGTTGCTTTCAAACGTCGTTTAAAATAAATTGAATGCTCACTGGCAGTAACTAGCGTTTATATACCGCGCTAGAAGGACCAGTTCAGTATGAATATAGAATGCCTAGCAAAAACGTAATATAGTTCATTAAGAAGTGATTAAGTTTGTTCAAGACTGTTATCTATGTTAATTACTTGGGCTGTCGAAACTTTAAATTAAAAGTGTTAAAACTTACGATTTAACTAAATAAATTAATTTTCTACTCCAGAAAAGTAGGAAAGTGTAATTAGATTCGTCTGGATTACATAAACTAACTTGTATGGCTGTCGTTATTTTATCTGTAGTTGCACGTGCCATTTTCCTTTTCGATACAATGTTGTTCCGTTGTAATTAAATTACTTCTCGGATTTCTAAATGAGATTTAACTCACATGCTAGGTTACATGAACGTTAGTCTATATCACCTTACAAGCAAAATAAATAAGTTTAACGAACATACATACCTAAAGTTTTTTGCAAGGAAATTTCGAAAAACATTTTTTTTTGCCGAACCTAGGGGGTTCCGTTTTATATTTTTCGGTGCGGTGACATCAACAATCGGTAAATTTTTTTTAAATTATTCTAATGGAGTAATAAATATATGTACTTCCTGACATTAGGGTGACCAGGTGAGTAGGTACTAAAAGGGGGTGCTTGAGGTCATTGAGCGTTAAAAAAAAAAATCTTCTTTCAGACAGCCGAAGATATGACGAAAAATGTGAAAAGGCTATGCACAGTATTGTGGAATAATATTTGTTTAATGCTTAAGTCTTATTCAACAATGGGCACAACCTAACTTATGCCATTTTGAATTTTCTAATACACAAATTTGCAAACACTAACTTTTGTTGGCCAGTTTTAAATATAACTAATTATTAGAAATAGAAAACAGTTTACATTATCCTATAGCGTATAAATCAGTCTATAAAACTATTCCTATATTAGTTTAAAATGTGACACTAGCTGCGTTAAAGTAAAGTTATGGGCAAAATTCAACTATACGTGAGTGATTCATACAGCCATATTAAACTGTTATAGGGAACCCAGGTGCACGCGATATAAGCAAACGTAGAAAAAAAATTAATTTAAAGAGTTTGATTTTCCGAATTTTTTCCACCAAGATTTGGGACCAGCGTTAGAACTTCACTACGATCGAAGTAGTTTTGCTACGATTTTTGACGAAAATTAGAAATTTACTACGCTACTCCGCTTTACCCACGATCTACTTCGGTTTCATTTCCCAAATAATAAAGAGCACTTTTTGCAGTATCTAAACTAAAAAATACTACACGAAGCGATTGGCTTCCAATTACACTGTACGTATGTAGTTTTTTAACTTTTGAAATTTTCTTAAAAATATATTTAGAAGGCCAAGAAATAGTATTCAAATGTAGATAGAATGCATTCTCAGTTTTGTTTTATAACGTCTCTTTTTTTTGAGATATTGGCCCACTAAGGGCCGTTACAAAGTTATACAAATTATTAAAACTGGCTGGATAAAGTCTTCTTTTTTCTAACAATTTGGGCGTAAGAATATATGTATTTGGAATCATTGGACATTTACCACTGGCATACGTTCTTTTTTATAGAATTTTTAGTTATCGATCGTTTCTGTTTTTTAAACAGGTTTATAATTGGAATATTTATTAATATGACTTTTCAAAATTAGAGCACTTTTCGGAGTTTTATCTAAAATTTAATCAGAAACGCAGGCCATAAACATGATAACCATATTTTTTCGATAAAATTATCTGCTATTGAGTAATACATTTTTAGTAGCTTAAGGTTTGAATCACGAAGCGATTAAACTCAGAAAGCAGTTGGTATATAAGTACTGAAAAGCAATAGGAGTCTTATAGATATGCCGGAGTCTTTAGCTTTCCTTGCATAAATATTAAGAGATTCAGTATCCGGTTGCTCACTGCTCACCTAACCAAATGATCTTCTAGCTAGCAGTGTCCCTTATACTGTTACACCCAAGTTAGTAACTAACTTACAGCTAGCGAAGTTTTTTCGGAGACCCAGTTCAACAACTTCGTACCCCTTGCAACATTTCTAGCGGTAAATGGATCAGTGGTAATTTTTGGTACGTTATTTCAAATGTAAATATAATTTGAAATACTTTTGCTATATCACACATTATTCAGAAATAAACCTCAAAGCTTACTTCTTACGAATACCGTAGAGATCGTGGCTTTCAGGCAAAAAATATGGATTTTAAAACTAAATACAACTTCGAAAAATCCTCTAGATAAATGCTTCCATTACACTATCACATACCAAAAGTAGATCAGTGTTAAATGGGTCAATGTCACATTGCTTTGCATTCGAAAATTCGATTTGTGTTTCCACTATCGTCACTGCAATGCATAAATATTCACATAAATAGTCATTGGATTTCATTGGATGACCATAAAATGACTCGCTTGAACTGCTGTCGATAAACACCAACAACGTATGCCTTTAAAACTTTACTACGCTCCTTGATTTATGGCTCGCGAACAAAAGCTACATCTCTCCTTTCCTAGCCTTGAAATAAACTATATAAGAAAAAATACACACAGAAAAATAACGAAAGTGAAACCAAACTTTTCGGCCATAAAGTGAAGAGGGAGCAGAAATATTTATAAAAAAGTACAAATATCTAGAAAGGAATATAAAAAACTTCATACGTAAATAAAAAGCAGAAATAATACGAAATAAAAACAAAGGAAAACACTGCAAAGAGCAAGTAAGCAAAACCAATTTGATATTATTTTATTTGCATGTCTTTCAGTAGCCATATACATACTTATTTACAAATTCACATCTCCTTGAGTCAATAGAAAATTGGTCCGATGCTTGTCATATTGTGCGCACTATTCTCAGAAAATTTCGTCAAGCGTAACAGTCCCGCAGATATCCATAGATCGGCCGTTCCAACCGTCAAACCATGGCGTCTTTTAAACTGGTGCACGCGATGAATAGGGTCGGATTGGAACCTCGCCCGCTCTAACCGTGCTACCGAAGAGTACACGCGCATTGGAACCTTGACCGTTTCAATTGCCGGATAGTGGGGCTTTGAAAGTCGTGCAAAGAAAGCGTAGACTCGGATTTGAATCTAGGCCATTCCAACCGCCCAATCGGTATCGGTGAAACTCGTCACCTTTGAATGGCTGCTCAATGCAAATACCAGCGACATGCTGCTCGGAATCTGGTTCACTCCGACCGTCGCGACAAAAGCAGCTATAAGGTATGCCACAAGTATAAGATAACCATTCGTACACCGAAATTTGTGAACAATGGAGCAGATAAACGCAAGAGCTACGATAGTCGCGCAGCTCTGGAAACCCTCGATATCAAGATATGTAAGTAATCAACCTGATCAAAATATTTATGGGGCATGGTTGCTTCAAATCGCACGATTGTTTTATTGACCGAAAATCTCCCGGCTTCGAATTCATTCCTGACGATGTGCTTAAACTTACATATCTTGAAGACTAGTTCAGAAGTAGTTGTTCGTACATTCGGAAGCAGCAGAGCTTAGTCCACCTACTCAAGGCAGGAAAATAACCGGGAGATCTTTCAGCTTATCGCCCCTTATGTATGCTAAACACGACGGGAAAATTGAAAGAGCTCGTAATAAACAACAGAGTATAGCAGCGAGAAGCAGGCGGAGAACTACCAGATATGCAGTTCGGTTTCTGAAAGGGTAGATCCACTGTAGAAACGGCCATGTAAGTTAAACAGCTGGCTGAAGAGGCGATCAGCGGGAAATGATAAAAAGGTGGATTGAAGAAGTACTGCTTGCTGATTGCTCTACACATAAATAATGCTTTTAGTACTGCAAGCTGACAGAAAATACTCCAGACCATCCAGAAGTTTAAAGTTCCAACAAATCTTCGCAGGAATATAAGCAACTATCTTTCCGACCTTGCATTGATCTACGGAACAGAGGACAGAGCAAAAAATTATATTATCTCCGGTGGCGTGCCACAAGGAACTTTTCTTGGAGCAATACTCTGGAACGCTATGTGTAACGGCGCCCTGCGCTTGAAACTAACAAAAGGTGCACAACTAATTGGTTTCACTGACGACTAACAACGGCAGCAAGCTATGCAATCCTTCGGGTACGCGATTGGCCTGCTTCTGGCCTAGAGCTGACACACCTGAAGACTGAAAAAGTCTTGATCAGTAGTAGGAAGTTTGCCTCAAGAGGCCAAAATCAGTGTTTGGGACAACGAAATAATCTCGAGGGAGACTCCAAAGTATTTAGGCATTTCTTTGCGGCAATGGGCTCACTTTTTAGGCGCATATTGAATTTCCATTCGGAAAGGCGGAAAAAGTTGCAGCAGGGCTGTCCAGACTAACGCTAAATGCCAGGTGTCCTAAGCAAGAACGCAGACTGCTGTATGTAAGTGTGGAGACAATCGTTTTATTGTATGGTACCCCAGTTTGGTGAAAAGCATTGAAGACGAAATCTTAATGCTCAGAAAGCTAGAACAATGTACCGACTTTGCGCTTTCAGAGTATTCTGCGCGTACGGAACAATGTTAGAGGAGGCTGCATTAGTAGAAGCAGGTCACTGCCCTATTGACATAGTGGGAAGGGAAATAGCTGCAACTACGGATAAGTGCGAGAACGAAAAGGTGAAGAGAATTATATGCAGCAGTCACAAGACCGCGGGGACCACACGACTAACGGATACTGGACTTATAGATTTATCCCGAGTATAAGAAAATGGCTTGACAGGATACGTGGAGAGGTAGATTTCCATCTGACCCAAACTATAACCGGACATGGCGATTTTAAAGCATATTTACACAGATTTAATCATGAAGACCTTCTGTATAGGAAAAGTAATCGAAGACGCTGACGCAGTTCGCAGCCCAAAGGGAAGACTTGAGCGTAAAGATGGGAAGGCCACTTAAGGTTGATAAACTTGTGGATATCAATAGAACATTAGTCCGTTGTTTTTCATATGGCATTCACTATACTAAGACAACTGCGTCAAGCGGAATAACTGCCCAAATCTTCAAATCTTCGCTCCCCCTCCGCGAAGTAATACCTAGCG